ATTTTTGCTTAAATTTCAGAAAATGGTTAATAAAACATCCAAAAACTAAAAAAATAGAATTGAGCGAGGCTTAAAGTTCCACGTGTAAAAAGGTATCTCAAAAACCAGAAAAATTAAGAATTTTGTAACAACAATATTTGAAAATAGAGGGAAAAAGATGTATCACCAGAATTCTCACAATGTCGATAAACAAATGTGTTTGAAAATCCAAAACAAAAGTATTTTTTTTCGTTGTTAGCTGTTTAAGTTGTGAGCACTGTGATTTAGTTTACGACCCCACTCTGGGTGGGGTAAAATGGACCAACTGAACCTTTATCCTGGCAAAGATAAAAAAAAATAAAAACTAGTGGTGTATGGCATCGTGCCTTAAGGCAGATTGCTGAAACTTGCCGCACCAAAAATATTTTTTTTTAAAAACATTTTTTTTTTAACTTTGAAAAGATTAAATTTTTGAGAAATTTTACATTTTCGAAACAAAATGACTTCTGGATAAAAAAACTTTTGAAAAAGTTTCTTTTTATTTTGAAATATCTTGGAATTTTTTTCCGAAGCGCGTAGGCGCTGCGGGCCGTCGATAGGACTAACGATGTTACGGAACCCTTAGAAATGTAAACATAAATGATACATATTATTAAAATCTCCATAAAATATCTGATAATTTGGACACACACACATCCATTTTTTCTAAGGTATGCAAAAATGTTCAGAAACCTTTGAAACGTAAAGATATATAAAAATTCTCATTTTTGTTTTTTTGCAATTACTATAACTTACTCTACGACAAGTTAATAAAAAAAAAGTAAAAAAAAATCAATAAAGCAATTTTACAAGAGATAAATTAAATAAATAGCTATTTCAAAACTCTGCTGATAAATATTTTTGATAATATACCAAATCAAGGTTACTTACAGTGTCGTCATTAAAAAATGCACTCATGAAATTCATATTATGCATTGGTTGAGTAATGTAGCCATTATTTTGTAAAATTTCTTTAAAATTAAAAATGAGACATTGGACATGTTTGCCACCCGGCCGGCCCATTCTACCCGGCCTCTAGGCTAAAACAAACCAGGTTACAGTTTTTTGAAAAATAACAAAGGAAACACATTTTTACTATGATGAAGTACTGTGAGTTTTACTGAACATAGTCAAGTAATTGCTTATTTGGTATGTGTAATTTGTTAGGTTTTTACTATATAATTTCTCTAAGTCTATTTGGACCTTTGTGTCCCGCCCGTCCCTACATACTAAAATATGTACCACTTTTTAAAACTAACAAATTATTAAAACAACAATACATAAACTCCTGTTTCATACCATTTTTTAATACGGTTTTGAATAATCCATAACTAATCCCATCGCCACAGTTGGGGAATTTCAGCAAGCCCCATATTCAGCAAACATTCACATCGCAACTGGATCACATTTGTTTACACGTATGCTTGAGTTTTATTGCATTATTTATGAAAATGATTAAATATTTCTAACTTCATTGAATTAGAAGGGTTTCGCGTTACGAAATTGTTTTGTTGCCCGCTTTCCTTTTATCGTCATGTTTTAGCATGTATATAACTTATTTCTGTATGAATATTTCAGTGGGTTTTGTATTATACACTTCGCACTCTAAAATATAAGATTTTGTTTATAAGAAAGGTTTCTGAACCAGACAATGGAAGTAATTATCATTTAATTGATGGTAATAATATTCATTGTTTCGTGAACTTGCTGAACAAACAAAATATGATGCCTATAATACCAACTTTTTGCAGGGTAAAAGAATTCTAAGAAAAATATTTTAATTATATTAAATGTTTCAAAAAATAGTTTTCATCGATTTGCTTATATTTCTAAGTACTTTTGCTTATTCTTATTTAGGTTATAACCCATTAGATTGATTATGAAAATATTGATTTTATTACTTGACGACACTCAACAGAACTTTCAATTTTTTTTAAAAAAAATGTTATTGGTTTAAATTTATAGTAAAATGAAAAATGTGTATTGAATTTTTTAATTTAATTAATTAATTCAATTTTTAATTTAACTTTTAATCATATAAAGTATTTATAAAATTTAAAGAGATTTAGAATGTATGTAAATTTATATTATGAATATAAAGAATGTGTGAAATGATACGAAGTTAATTATAAATTTCAGTTGAATTCTTTAAATATTGCCCGAATGTTTTTAAAATATTTAATGCGTTTAAAAAATTAATGTTTGATAAATTTCATTATAGATTTGATTTATATAAGCATCGATTTGTTCATCTTTGTGTTATGAATATTTTAAACATTTTTCATAAAATACTTTGTTTTAGAAATTTTTACTTGTACTATTAATGTACAACTGTAATACAAAACAATTATACAAGAAAATAAATTTCAGCATTTTAAATTGCGGTTAAGAATTTTTGTAATTATTCTAAGTATTCAAGACTATTTCAAAAATATCGTGATTTAATTTATTTGCAAATAATTGCAATGGAAACTTCTCTAAAGTAAATACAAAAACAGTTTTGTCAAACAGAATAAGTAGTTCATACATCCAAATATTCACTCAATAAAAACAAAGTAATTTAAATACTTCTTCAATTAAAGTTGCGGGTCCAGATTTGATTTTTTTTTTCAAAACAAAGGTCAATAAATATATTAACAGTTTAAATAAAAACCAACATCATGAACATAAAATTTAAAATAAAACTAGTTGTAAGTGGTATTTTGCCTCAAGGCAAGTTATATGAACTTCTTGATATGTGTAGATAATCGCCTTAATCAATAATTAATAAATTATTGAAAATCGAAGACGTGACTTATACTAATCGGATTATTAAAAAAAATCCAATAAATTTTTAAAATTGGCATAGTTTCGATTTAGCTTATTATAATGGTTTCGTAAGTTTAATAAGACTATATCTCGCCTATGCCAAGTAAAATGTTCGATTTTGACAGATGTCAAAAAACGCTGTTATTTTTTTCAAATTTTAATGATTTTTTTAAATTGAACTACTTGTCGTAGAGTTGTGATATTTTAATATGATCTATAAGACCATTATAACTATCGTCAAGAAAAAAAATATCATAAGAATCATCAAAAAAAATGTATTAACCATTGATTACAAGATCACGGGTCAAGCGATCTTTATCAAAAACTAATTAGAACGATTCCCAACCACGATGTTTCAATCGGTTTTTGAATTTTTAGCCCTTTCCACTCGCAAACTCCGAGATTTATATGAATTTTGCCGCCGGAGCGCCCGCATCCGAGTCGAAAGGGTTAAAGTCTATTAAAATTCATGGGCTGAAACATGGACGAATAATTTTCCTTTTTCGCTAAATACAAAGAAACGGCTTGGCTGATCGTCGCGCAAAACTTGTAAGCGGTAGTCCTCCCTCATCGAGATACATCGAATGACATTTAAATTTTTGAAATCGGTTTAGTCATTTTTAAGCAAACGTCGACAAAAGGTCTAAAATCGGCTCGCATACAAACACACTTTTCCAAATTTGGTCCCATTTGATTCAGAATGGCTTGAAACGTCGAGAAAACACAATTAGCAATTGGGATGTTTGGATGAAAGCATAAACTTCTCTTTCGAGAAGTTAAAAATCTTACTTGAAAACATTCACATTCAAAACATGATAAAACACAAACCAAGAGCTAGTAAATTAAACTTATTTCTAAATTGCCCAACATCGTATATTTATAATAATTGGGTGGGTGACTGGACGACTGGTGGATGATTTCGTATTTATATTGATTTACTACAAACTACAAGACTTTGTAGATTTTCTCCTAATAAATTTGGCGACATATGTAGCTCTCAACGTGCGTACTATGTATTTGTTAAAATTTATTTAATTTGTTCAACTCTAAGTATTCTTTGTTTCATTTCCTATTTCAAATGTGTTTTACCATTGAGAAAACAATCAAGATATATTTTATATAAATATTTATTAGTTTAAATTGCTGTACCACCAAGAACTTCAAACCATTAAAAAATTGGAATTATTTCTGGAGTTCCAAATTGAACTCTTTGGGGGCGGCTGTCCACCGGATTGGACAAACATACCCTGTGAGATACGGGCTATTTTATGAACAATGACTCAGTTTGCATCGAAACGTTGATTACATATAGCAGTGATAAACAGTGTTGTATTTTGAAAATAATTTTAAGTTAATTTAGTAGTATTTTTAACCTTTTTCTTTGCTATATAGTCTTTTTTTAATTTAAATTTAAAAGTAAATTTTGTGAATTAAGCAGTAGTGAAGATGAGTTTCAAATAGACATTCATACAGACAAATTTTACGAAGTTACTATTAGCACCGAAGATAGTGATGGATGTGATGATGATATTATCCGATCAACAAAAAGAAAAAGAAGTTGGACAAATGAAGAGTGGAAAGGCATTAGCGAATGTGCAGATTTTCCTTCAATAATCGAGTTTGACATACATCAACAAACACCCCGACTACAAATACCAAGCAATATAAGACATCCAATAGATTATTTTACTTTATACTTTACAAATGAATTATTAGACAACAATATAATAGAAAAACAAACTATTACGGCAACAAAAAAATGAACAAATATACTGTCTAGTCAGTGGTATATTCTAAATGCGATGGAAAGAAAAAGGGATTATTGTATTGTCTTTTCAGACAGAAAAGCACCAGGAGAAAGGCGGCGAACAACATTTTATTGTAAAATATGTCAAAATCAACCAGCTATGCAATTTGGAAATTGTTTTGAACGTCACCATTCTTTATAAAATGATCAAAACTAAATTAATATTATAAATGTATGTCCTTCAATAAACGCAATTTTTTATAAAACAAATTGCATAACAAACACAATGAAATCAAGTTTACAGCCGGTACAGTAGATTGTTTTGAAATCGGTGCCGCCCCGTAAGTGTTAAACATTTGAACATACAAATATTCGTAAAATAAATATAGTACGATTCCTTTCAAAATATATAATCTAATCCACTTACCTTTGCCTAATCCATTGTCGGCTCGGAAATTATCGGCTCCTTTCTTTCCGTCCAGAAGCTGCCCTAGTCCGCCCTTGAGACGATTCGAATCTTCGATGCCGTCGTAACAGCGATCTGTCAAATCAATCTCGCCGCCCCGATTCACTCCCTGAGGCATCGAGTAGCTCACGACGCCTTCTGTTGATTAATAAAAAATATTACTGTTGGTGCTCATTGAAAAGTAATCATCTTAAGAATGGCAAAAACGCCGCAAAAAAGGAAAGAAATAAATGTAAAGTTATGTTGTTACTGAAGGCGATGTTTTAGATTAAGGTACAGTAGAACCTCGATTAACCGGACTAATTGTTGCCGATAGACATTCAGATAATTGAATATCTATTAAAAATAACAAATACATACATAGATATCAACGAAAATAATATTCATTAAAAATTTGAAACTCTCTTATGTATGTACATATGTTTTCTTAGATTACATTACATACATATTAGAGATGGGCTTATCATATCCGAAGCCGGATCGCTCGGATTTGACTCCGCTTCAGGGAGGAGTTATATCCGCTTAACAACTCCACGACTCCGACAACATTGAAACCGAAATACTCGACATAAATGTGTCCTATATTGTGTTGCTTATGCATCTAAAGATTTGTCAAATTCCATTTAATTTTTTGAAATGTAAATTTATGAGTGAAAAAAATTAAAAAAAAAAACATCAATAAAATATTTTTTCTAAATAATTCACAAATAAATGACGAGTTGTAAAACTTTCCGGTCGACCAGATGATAGACTCAATGACTCATAATTTTAACAGTGTTGACCAAAATAAAAACGCAAAACTTGAGAATCAAATTCAATTTAAATATTTTCTTTTAATGAGAAAATAATTCATTTTTTTGATTAATTTTATATAAAAATAATGTAGTATACTTTGTAATAAAAGCAAAATATTTATCATATAATATTTTCACCAAATAATTATACTTCTGCTTTCTAATTTTTTCTTCTGCAATTTCCATTCGAGAATTAATGATATATATCAGGTAGATCAATTAGCATATTATTACTTTTAAACAATTATATAATTGTGTAAAAGTAAAAATTTAATACTATATATTTTTTGCTGCTTAAATACTATTGACGTCACTGATATATTTTGTACTCTGAAGTATTGTTATTTCAGACTATGGAAAAACCAGATTCAATGTATTTTGTTTCGGGATTTTCGTTTTGTCCTGATTGCCGTCATTCACGGCCAAAGATTATCGTGGTTAGAAATATGACCCCTTACTATTCAATAAATTATACATTGAAGCTATTCACACTTGAACACAATTTCATTGTTCTGTATCTTTGAAGTAATATCTTTGTATTTTCTGAAAAAAAAGTATTCCTAAAAGGTCATAAAACTGCCTGTGAGACGAGAAAGCGACAGCTTCCTTACCAAAGCAGCTTCCCAGTAATATGGAAGTCGGATATGACAAATCCGACGAGACAACTCCACTCGGATTCACTCCGAGGGAGGGTTGTATCGGAGTGATAACTCCGAAGTGAGCTACCCATTTCTAATACATATACTAAACTTCAGCATTAATCATGCAAACATTCGAATTGCATAGAAATTGGTCGCGGTTGGTAGACCGGACAATCGCGAATCCGTATTATTGAGGTCCGGATAAACGAGGTTCTACAGTAGTAGGTGTCAGAAGAATTACCATAAAAGTGCAAACTCTTTCGTCTATGTTTTCGCAAAAAATGCTGAAACGATTTAACTGAAATTTAAACGCCCATCGCTATCAGAAAACAAGAAATCAGGTTGATTAGTTTTTAGACCCTTTCTTCGCAACTAAATGTATTTTTTTTGCATTTTCAAGGAATCTCAACATGCCGATAGGATTCATAACGGAACTCTAGTTCAAACGACTATCCTAAAATATTATAGTTTTATGAAAAATGGCTGAATCACAAACATTTATTGAAGTTAACGTCCGTTCTATTAGGACATACAAATATGTGTTTGTACACTTTGATTAATTACTAATTATTCAAGTTTGTTAGAAAGATATCAACTATAATTTTCATTGACTTCATTTTTGAAATAGTTGAAAATCTTATCAAAATAGCTGTATCTCAATTGTTTTTAGGACGTTTATATACACATTTATGTATTTACAAACTTGCTTTAAAGCATAATTTCACTCACACATTGATTATATTATTACTATTATTAACCGATATTAATAAATTAATTGCTGAAGGAGAAGTTTGTTTTCGCAAAAAATCAGATTTGCTAATTTTATGTTTCCTCGATGTCCCAAAAAAAAATTCAGACGACGATCAGGCATTGTAAATAGCGGAGAAGTGAAAAAAAAATTGCCCTAGTTTTAGCCCGCAATTTTGAACCGTTTTTGGAAATACAAAAACTATTCAGAAGATATCATTTGGGAATTGTGCTGATTATTTTTGAACAAAGGTCGGCCAAACAGTTTCTTAGTAATTAATAGATAGATCATGTTCATGAAGAACATATTGAAATATTACGGCCCTACAACAAATAGTTTGATTTTAAAAATTCATCAAAATTTGAAAAAATATGCTTTGATAATTTGTGCCAAAATTCGCTTGATGATGCTATAAGTCAAAACTTGCATTTCACAATTGGAATAATTTGGACAAGGAGGAACCGCCATTAGGTTTGCAAAAAGATAAGTCAAGCCATTAGAAATAGCTTTGGAATTAGCAAAAAAGTAAGTCAGCAGTCTACAGAACTTCTCTAGTTGTGTAAAAAATGTCACCATTAATTTAAATCATTAATGTTAGCAAATACTTCGAGTATAGTTAATCAGTCATAGTTGGATTGAACAACTACTGGGTTGCCATTCATTCAAAAATCCATATAATAAAAAGTCAAAACAATTACTGAATGTGTGAAAAGGTGCGACAGATTGTAATAAAAAAAAATCATTAAATAATATCAGAGACTACGTACATGATATACGTAATCGCGCAGTTGAAAATTTTATCTAAATATCTTAATCTCGATTTCAGATGATTAAGTCAATTATGAATAATTTAGGGGAGTTTATACAATTTGCCTTAAGGCAAAATGCCACATTCAACTAGTATCAATTTGTCCTGAAAGACATCAATTGAACATCAGAATAATTAGTTTTAGTGAAAGCGAAACTTTGATTGCCTAAATGAACTAAATAGCAGCCAGAAGTCTTAATTCAAATCAATTAAATCAATAGTTTATATATACCAAAAAATTCATCCATCTTAAGACAAGATGCCACTCAGCATAGAAGGTATTGTTATGGGTCTACAATCGTATGAGCCGTTAGCCTCAAACTGTTAAAAAGCTATGTATTTTTCCTATTTGGCGGGAAAAATACAAAAGCTAACTACCTATCGAAATGAGACAAAATGGATTATATTCAGAATCAAATTCTCATCTAGTTGAATCTAAAAAAGCTTAAAAAAGTTATAATTAACTCACTTTTTAAACAACCTTTTTTCAAAAAAAAATTTTTTAGGCTGCCAAAAATTATTGAATGTCTTACTTTTTAGATTTCATAGGTTTAACTAGAATCTTTTCTATTGAAAATATAAATTTGTTTTGGTTTATTTGTTCCCGCCAAACGACACATGCACACTCGAGGCGCCTCGGCAAAATACTTTTATCCGGCATATTATATTATAACATATTTTAATGAAGAATATTAGAGAAAAATGTTGAAATATCAAATTAAATATTTATTTCTTTACCTAAAAATTCCTAAAAAAAATCGATTTTTGAAGCCTCTAAAGCAGTCTTTCCCTTTAAGTTGCATGGCTTTTCCGATAAGTGTGTATAATTGGTTTAATATAACGATTATAATCGTGAACTAAATTAAGGGGATATATATATACCCGTAACAGAACACTTATTTCATGCGAGAATTAGCCCCTTTTTAACTAATAAATTAAAGCCCCCAGTTTAGTTTTTGATCCACATTTTTAGCATATCATTAAATTAACTCTTCAATTAAATAAGATGCATCCATAATGTATTGCTTCCTTATTATGGGGCCTTCATATAACGCCACACCAATGAAGTGATTTGTACAAATTTTGACAGTAAGTTACTATTGGCGCGGTTCCTATACAACGCAATAGAAAATTTGTATAATAAATCCGAATTTGTTATATAGCGATTTACGTATTACACTGAAATTAACAGTAATTAACAATATTACTAAGTAAAATCGAGAACTTACCATTTTATTCACAAATAATTTCATTAAAATTACACAACACACGCGGTAAATCACAAAATGGCGGAATTAACACTATACCGACAACCGACAACCGACGGGCACATCCGATCACTTCAAGTGTCGATCGACAACTGAATATGCGTTAATTTTTAAAAATTTAATGCCCTTATTAGGTATTACCAGATCTGGACAGAAATGCCATGACGTCACCAATCAAAAGGCGCCATTTATGAATTTAATGCAAACTATTTCACTTGTAATCAAACGGACAAAATAAGTAGAATTTAATACTTTGTGCAACAATTTAACTTAAAACGAATAACTAGGTGTAAGTGGCATTTTATTAATTAATGATAATATCAAAAAAAATTATTTAAAAAGCACATACTACTAACAAAAGATTATTTCTTTACAATTAGTTGTAATAAGAAAAACATTTTTTTGTATGTACTTATCAGATTATTTATTATTAACTTTCCGATGTATATGTTTGCATAAAAAAAATCCGATTCGCTAACTTGAAGTTTTCTCGACGTTTCAAGTGATTCTGAATCGAATGAGATCTAATTTGGAAAAAGTATGTGTGTGTGAGAGAGAGAGAGAGAGTCGATTTTTGACCTTTCGTCGACATTTACTCAAAAACGGATGAAACGATTTCAAAAATTTGAAAGTCATTCGATGTATCTCGTTGAGTACAAACGTTTGTCAGTTTTGCGCAATGATCAGTTAAGCCGTTGTTGAAAATTTAATAACCATTTGCTCCTTATCTGTGAAACGGCTGGGCCTGTCTTTGTCAAAAACAAATCACCACGTATCTTTATCATATCAAATTGAATGTTTTTGAATCATTCAAATCGGATGTTCTGTTTTCTCACATACTTAATTTCCATTTTCCGCACTCTTTGCTTCGTATCTCCGAAGCGGCTGGACCGACTTTTGCAAAAAACTTAATCAGCACTCATTCTTAGGAATCAATTTTTTTTTAATAATCCAAATCGGTTGATTGGTGCTGCCGAAAAGTTGAACGTAAAACTGTATTTATACATACGCACACACATCCATTTTTTTTAAAAGGTATGCCAAAATGTGTAGGAAGCTCTAAAGATGTGTAAAAGAAATAATTCAAAAAAGAAAAAACGGTATTGAGTGTTCAAAAATGATCACCATACTTATCTATATCAAATTATTATATACCTTTTAAAGATTTTATTAATAAGTACCAAGATTTATGATGTGTAAGACAGCGGCCGCAAATCGTCTCTAAGCAGCGTTTTGAAGAAACAATTAAATATTATGAAAAACATTTAAAGCTTTTAAAAATTCTATATCACGGTACGGAAAGTTCCAGCAATTTGTCATTTTTCCCATTTTGTTTAAAACTAAAATATTCAATATTGGACCAACATATTTTAGTTTACAATAAGGCAAGACTAACCTTTCCAATTGCAACCCACAAGTTCGAGCCTCATGCAGACGGTCCTGACGTGTTCACTATAGGGAATGATTCGAATGCGTGATGTTAGCACAGGAGGCTCGAGGATCTGTTCAACAACACCTGAGGTATCAGTATTCCCCTGTAGGAGCTGAAAGCACACAAAACATACGGTTACAAATTGCATTAAAGACAGATAAATGACAATCAACTGATTTATGCAACTATTTTTTTATTAGTACCATTATTGGAACAGCGATCAGAAATTAAGGGTCTAAGAGTTGTGATGATTTGACTTAACGAACCACGTCGGTTTTAAAGCAGCCCAAACAGTTATCTATGCAATAGAGGAATTATGGACAAAATGACTTATAGTCCTGTCAATTTAAGAATTCAAGGTTACAATGATTCATAATAGGCTGCAACTTGGTAAAATTACTTAAAATATAATTATGCAAGAAATCTTAAAAGTCCTCATCGCTCCTGTGCATCAAGGTAAAAAAAATGACCTTTTTCTCGATTTTCAGCTAAATGGTAAGTTCTATTGCAAAATTACATGAGACAAAATTGGAGAGCATAAAATTATCTACAAAAATGTATCAATATGGAAAATACGATCAAGCGCCACCTACGAGGTGGTGTGCTCCGCGCATTTTTTTATGTGGTTTTCCCAGTAAGCCAATTTCACGGGTTCATAGTGATTTTGTTTGTTTCAGAACTATTGCAAAATAATATTTGTAAATTAGGGTTAGTAAAAACAACGGCGGTAATTATAAATAATATGTACGAAGCTTCCAAAAAAAAAACTTGCTTATATAAGTTTCGATACGCCTGATTCGATAAAAATACTTGCAATAAAAAGCAAGTACAATTACTTTGTATGCTTCCAACCTTAGTAGCTGCTCATCAACATCTTTTTCGAATTAATTACCAAGTTCAAATGTATCTTAGTAACCGACTAGGCCCAAAAGACTGGGGTTGGAAGTTGATCGATAACACATTGGAGCCAGTATAGACATTACTTCCACCAGCGCAAGAATTCTCAAGTCACATTTTGCAACTGCAAAAAAGGATGTAGTTCCAAATGTGGTTGCAAAAAGTTGAACTCTTGAGTTCCCTGGCGTCCCTAACATATTGTGTTATTTAACACTTTGTGTTATTTTGACAAAATGACAAATAGTGTAAGGATGTACTGAAATGCTGATTTGTAAGAAGGCAGTTTACAAATAAATCGTTTTGTCCTTTTCGGATTATCAGCACATGAAGCATGACCCAAAGGCTACAATTTTGTACAAAAGGGTGCAACAAATGCAAGTATATTTTTTATTGGTGGATTTTTTTTGTTTATTGCATTTTTTGCATATTTTTATCTATGATCAGTAATACTTGCAAAATGTCATTTTATCCATTGTACAAGTATGTCATTTTGTACGAAATGGAATAGATATGAATAATTATTCATATTCAGTGAACACCAGATTATTGCAATAAAATTGATTAAAATCACTAGTACTGGCACGAGTTAATTGATTTCAATTTAAATAATTACGAATATCAATAAATTATAGAAATTCCCCAAAAAACATGAGAGAAAAATGTTCAAAATTAACTTTTGAAGGCGCTCCCATTGATGCCTAACAGGATTGTTATTAGGGCTTCTTTAACATTATATAGTCGGGAACACGTTATTAAAACTAATCAATTTTTAAACAAGACAACTGTGTTATTTTGTCCATATTCACCATTTTGTCCATTTTTCTCCGACAATTAATTATTGCAATTTCCGTAATAGTGATGTTTTTTTATTGGTGCAGCAATTCCTGCTAATGAATATTTTTACTTGAAAACATAATATTGCTATCTATTTTTAGAAATGAAAACCGATGTCACTGCTGCTCAACATTAGTCTGCTCAAAATGGGTATCGAATTTGGGACCTCTAATCCAAAATCCCATAGCCCTAACCACTTACATACAGACAAACCATGTGCAAAAATTAAAGCTAATCCTTTGTAAATAGAACTTTTAATTAGCAATTATATAAAGTTTTTTCAACTAAATAATAAAGTTTTTCATTCAAAATGGGCATGTTTCCAGCTGTTCTTGCATGATTTTCCTGTATATTATGCTTGTTTATGGCCTAGTTAAATAGGCGGAATATACCTGGGTGCCAAGAAACAAGTTCTCAGGGATTTGTTATAACCTCTATAAAATGTTAATGCTGTTTTTGCTGGCACAACCCCAACGTAGAATACTCTATACTAAAATTAACTTTATCATTATTTTTATAAAAAGTAATATTATACAGTCTTGTAATACTACAAATGGGTAGTATTTTAAAATTTTATTTATTATCTTAGTCACAGCAATTATTGAATGCCCTTTCAGGCAGTTGTAGTTTGATGAAAATAAAAAAGACTGACAATAACTTTCTCACAATGATCGCCAAAAACCGATAAAATTCAAAAGATCGGCCCGGCCGTTTCTGCATAATTAATTGTTAGAATTTCTTGCCCATTTTAACGATTCTCACATAGTGATAAAGTAGTTAACATATGAATGAAATGGTTTTAACAATCATCATGAAATATTAAAGGAATACGAAAAATGGTTCAGTTATAAAAGTTTATTAAAGGTAATGAATTGAAATGATGGGTTTCTAAGTAATATTTAAACTATTTGTCCAAAATATAACTAAATCCGTAAATCGCTTATAAATTAATAAATTGATAATCAATAAGATGATTAAGTCGATTATTTGCCCATGCCTGGAAGTTACTGAAAATTTCATTGAGATAAAATGCCATTTATTCCTACTTAAGTTTTAAATGTTTTGCAATTTATCGAGAAACTAAATACATATTTATCACATATTCGTAAATTGGAATATCCGAATTTCATTATATGTTTCAATCGTGCATACTGTAAAAGTATTTACAAGGTATAGCACACTTGAATTCTTTTCCTCATGATCTTTTCATTCAATTCGTTCTATATTTTACAAAAATGATTGATTCAGAAACATATCTCAATACATTTTTTCATTTCAAAACAACGTCGACTTTTTACATACAATATTTACGTCCGATACATATAACTCGTTTATTGAAATGTCGTTCGGTTATTGAATTGTCACATTCACGCATGTTCGACTGAATTTTTATAAATTTATTTGCATTGCGATTTTATGTATTTGTTTTACTACAAAATAATACATTTTTGTATGTCAATTCAAAAATATCTATCAGCCATAAAGAAGTACATAAAATATATATTCGGATATATTCTGTATAGGAACACTATACAGTCAAACTTTATTTGTGCTGTTTTTGGGATTTCACGTTTATGCACAAAGAATTAATGAATCTTTTTTATTTGTGAATATTTTATCTTCCTGGTTAGATGATTTTTTGAACATTTTACTTATGAAGAAATAATAGGCGTGTGAAAATGCTATGTTATACTTGAAAATTTTCAGAGAATCTAATGATAATTCCCATTAATTACATTAATTATATTAATTCAGAGTCAAAAACCTTGAATAAATTTATCAAATCATCTAACATTCAATAACAGTTTGAACTAGTGGTGTATGGCGTCGTGCCTTAAGGCAAATTGCTGGAGCAATTGCACTGCATAGAGGCGAAATATTGAAGCGCGTAAGCGCCGCGTCGTAAGTTGAACGAACAAATGACGTTACGGAACCCATAAAAATGTAAAGAAAACCGATAGACATTATTAAAACTTCCATAAAATATCTGATAATTTGTTGTGCCGCCAAGCATTTTTGTACTTTTTTTACTTTTTCTACTAGATCTCCAAAACCACTAGACCTGCCTTCATGGAAACTTGATCAGTTCTTCGTCTTGTTAATACAAGTAAAATGTTTTTTGAATTATTAAAATCGGACGCTCCGTTATATTAAAAACCGAGTTACCATTTTTGGCACTTTTTGCCCCGTATCTTCGGAACGGCTAGACCTACCTTTGCCAAAAACTAGTCAGAATGTCTCCCTATCTATAGGAATGAAATGTTTTTTGAATTTTTAAAATCTGTTGATCGGTGTTTCCGAAATTGTCGACAAAAATTTGTATCCGCACACATACACACACATACATCAATTTTTTCAAGGTATTGCAAAATGATCAAAATCATTGAAATGCAAAGATTTATGAAAATTATCATTTTCGATTTTTTTGCGATTACTATAACTTTACCTGCGGGAAGTTAATAATAATGGTTTAATAAATTCTATATAATTGTTTGAGTTTACCGATTGTAAGTGATGATTGAATAACTAATTTTTTACAAATATGTTATTGACAATACAAGATTTAATTGTCGATCATCTATCGATAATTTGACACATCTAGTTTTATCGTTAGTAACCTTGCTGTCGCAAACATCTAAAAATAGTTTTAAAAATGTTTCAACAAACATAAGGGATAAAATTCATGCTTTTCAATAAGTTTAAAAAAATCTTGACCAAATTTAAATGAAAAAGGTTCATAAAATGACAATAATTGGTTAGTTATCGAGAAAATGATTGGACTGCCAAAATTACTATTTTGAAATAGCTTCAACGCTATATCATAATAATCATATAAAATTTAAATAAATCAGAATGAAAAAAATTGGTCTCAAATTTAAAAACCATGTAAGAAATAGACAACCCTGAATAAATAATAGTTATTAAGTAATAATAGTAATTTTAAACAAAACTTTTAATCAGTGAAAAATATTAACTGAAAGTGGGATATAAATTACTCGTGTACTGAGATGACTATTACAAAATAGGGGTTTGTGGTAGGAGGGTAAAAATTTAGAGCCTTTACGCGTTCTTTAAGTACAAATTATAAAAAAAAATAAAAAAATATCCTAATTCTTGTTACTAGATGCATGAAAAATAGATGTGCGATTCGCAGTCACACTGTAGTCATTTTAAAATTTCATATTGTAATATTTTAGAGCGGGGCTTAAAGGTACGCGGGTAAAAAAATCCACCACTGATATCTCGAAAACCAGTAAAGTGAAGATTTTTTCAACAACAATCATAAATATTATATTTTGCTTTGCTCGCATGATGTAGTCATTATTTTGTAAAATCCCTTTAAAATTAAAATAAGACATTGGGCTTGTTTGGCCCCAGACC